TATTTTATTTGCACTGTCTTTTAAGAGCCTTTTAGATTTGTTCGGAGTTTTCGTCTTCTGGTCTTCAGTTTTAAAGTCAAGACATTTTAGCTGCTCTACTGCTTAACTGACCATATGTTGTTGATTTTGTTCTAATGTTGTGTTAAATTGTTTTGAAAGCCGCTCTGGGGGTCCTTTAGACGGAGAGAAGCATGCAAATATTCCAAATAAATGAAGCATTTTAGATTTCACTGGGGGGGAGGAGAGAGCAAGATTTACAGTGAGCATCCAAGGCACGGTCTTGGACCTAACTGGGGGTACACTGGGGGGGGGGGGAGTGATGCATTTTAAGAATGTTTCTTGTAACTATAGCAATTAAGGAACCAGTGATCTGGGCAAGGATATTGCCACTCCTTGGAAGCAATCACATACGGGCTGAAATATAGAAAAGAGAGAGACTCCCGACCCATTCCTAAGTCACTGATGCCTCTGGGAGGCAAAGCATCCCTGGGAGAAAATGCAAACTTTTTGGTTTGTTCGTATTGCTGCCTCTCATCCTGGGTAGTGAGTCCTTTCGGATACCTGGCAGAGGAGAGGAGAGATGTCAGCTTCTACTCTTGCTTTCATTTGTTCTCTCGGATTTTTAGAGCGATTGATTTTCCTTCTTTCCTTGGGCTGGGTTGTCCATGAGGTCACATCTACAGGGTGCACCCCTGGCCAAATTAAAATGGTGCAGACGTGGCGACCATTAAATCGCCCTTTGAGGTCCAGAAGTATCTTGCATAAGTTTTATTCTTAATATACCTAACAAAAAGAAACTAAGAAGCAACAATCATCGAAAACATCAGACCTACTGGGTCAGCCCCCCACATTTTTCCTTTTTATGTTAAACTATAAACATGTTTGTTTATTTTTTATTTATTTATTAAAACATTTTTATGCCGCCCCATTCGCCGAAGCCTCGGGGCGGCTTACAACAATAAATAAAACCACATAAATTAAAATATACATATAGAATAATAATAATAATTTAAAATACAATATACACACAATATAAAATAAGCCACCCTGGCCAGATAAAATTCAGTAGTATTAACATTTAAAATGTTGCTTAAATAAAAAGGTTTTCGCCTGGCGCCGAAAAACAAATAACGACGGTGCCAGGCGGACCTCTCTGGGGAGCACATTCCATAACTTAGGCGCCACCGCTGAGAAAGCCCCCCTCCAAGTAGCAACCCTCCTAATTTCTCTCACGGAGGGCTCCCGGAGAAGGGCCTCTCCCGCCGATCTCAGGGGGCGACTGGGCATATATGGATGTAAGCGCTCCTTCAGGTAACCAGGACCCAAGCCGTTTAGGGCTTTATAGGTCATCACCAACACCTTGATGAGTTTAAGTCTATGCATAGACCCGTTTCTCTAGCCAATAATAAAAAGAATCCCAGGTTTGATAGAAGTCTGTATCTTCTTTCTCCCTCAGAGACAAAGTCAGTCTATCCATTTCCGCACAGTCCAAAATCTTTTTTAGAATCAGTTCATCGGAAGGTGGTTCTTCACTCTTCCAATGTTGGGAAAATGCAATCCTCGCCGCAGTGGTTACATGTAGAGTCAAATACATTGCTTGTTTACTAAGATCATCAGGTACAATGCCTAATAAGAAAACTTCAGGTTTAAATGTTAAAGGTTTTTGTAACATTTCTTCAAGCCATTTGTGTATTTTAATCCAATACTTTTTAGGTCCAGAAGTACCTTGCAAGGAGAAGTGGTGGTTGGGGGTGGTGTTTGTCCTGGGACAACACTGCTTCCCAGCTGCGATTTTAAAATTCTCCTTTATGGTCCATCTCTGCTTCTCACATGCATCTTTTTTAAAATCTCCATGATGGCACTGGACTGTTCTTCCCAGTTTGGGGGACCAAGCCCCTTTCTTGTGCATTCGTCTGTGGACGTCACGCGCACCACGCAAGTAGGGAGACAAGTGGGTTTCAGGATCTAAGGAGAAATTCATTAGAACCTCAAAGTTGGCTGGAACCAGATGCAGAACAGTGGCAAGAAGTGCATAGGGTTCAGCAGTTGTGGAATGCAAACTCAGCTAGGGAGTTTGGTTTCAGATTGTTTTCAGTTTGGAGAGAATCACGTGCTCCTTTCATCCAGAAATCCACTTGTGACCCTCCTACCCTGCCAGCTTTCCTCATTCTAGCAGCCAAATTTGAGGTGGGGTGTACTTCCTGTTGTTGCTGATACTCCTCAGAAGTCAGAAACCCTTGTCATTTACTGCACCTCGTCAGGAGAACCTGCTCTGCCTTTTGACTGCCCCTTTGGCACCGTTTCCAGGCGGTGCAGTTCATTTATTTACTTATTAGATTTATCTCCTGCCTTTTTGCCTACAAAGAACTCACAGTGGCTTAATGTCGTTCTCCTTCTGATCTCCAGCTCAGCCCCACAACAACCACCTTGTGAGGTAGGCTGGGCTGAGAGGCTGTGACCGGCCCAAAGTCACCCAGTGGGCTCCATGGCTCAGCAGGGACTAGAACCCAGGGCACCCGTTGCACCTCACTGGGAGTTGGCAGGGGCCCAGTCAGTGATCCTGACCTTACATTCCTGAGCCCTCCAAGTAGCCAGTGCTGACCCCAAAGATGTGGGATCGGGGGGCTCTCAACTCCCCTTGGGAACCTCAGTAACAGAGATCCGTCCAACATGAGTCCTGCCACAGCAGCATCACGTGAGGAACTGAGGGACAGCTGTCCAGAGCACCATATCTATAAAAGCCTGACATAGTAAATAGTATCAGTTCCGCCAGAGTCCTCGGAGGGCTCCCAAGTGTCCAAGACCCCCCCGCCCCCATCCCAGGGGAGAGAAAAGTGGTGAAGGAGTGCTAGTCTCCAGGCCAATTCACTTGCCCCTGCACCCAAGGTTCGGCCTGCACCCAAGCGAGGCCCTGAGGCAGGCTTTAGGGGAGCGGTGGAAAACAAGCACCCCCCACACGGCCTCTCTGGCAGTCTCCCAGGCAGCAGCATCTGCTGCCTCCAAAGCCAGGAAAAACGGGGAGTCTGCACGCTAGATTCATTGCCGAGGGGTCCCACTGGCTTCCTGGGGTTCTTCAAGGATGCTCCAGGAATGATGTTTGTATGGCAGGAATCACAGAGCCCGTTTTAGGGGCTTTTTTGTTTTTTCTATCTTAGCAGCGGTGAAGGGAAAGGTTTAAAGCTGTGACTTAAGTGTGCCAATGAGCGTAGGAGGAGTGGCTGTGTGCAAGCAGGGAAAGAAGGGTGTGGGAAAAGTTGGTGCTTAGGGGGGCATAGAGGAACAGCAGCCATGGGAAGAGTTCCCTCTGAGATGCCCACGTTTCCCGCAAAAATGTTTTTGTTTTTGTTTAAATACTAGTATGGATGCAGGACGAACGCAGAGTGAGCGCATGTGAGTTGAGTGTGCATGTGCATGTTGGTCCATGCTTCTATGTGGCCCCCGCCATGCCAGGAGATGCCCCTTGCAGCCCTCAGGACCCACAATCCTGTGCGTTCACACCCTGCCTTAGCACCTGTACCGTTAGACGAGTTCAGCACCACGCCGGGTCGTTATTCCATGCTTTCTGTTTGGGAGCTGTCCGTGGTCCTGCAGGGGTCACAGCCTCATCTTTGCTTTCACCATCAAATTTCCCATCGGCTCTAGTTCCCATCTTTGTGCAGGCATCGCTCAATCCAAACCCAAGGACACTACTTGGACCATGCAAATGTGGCCAAAACGGGGGATCGGTTTCTTTATTTGCAGTAATGGCACAACCTGTAGGAATCCTAGAACTTGAGAAGCAGCCCTGCCGGCGATGACCAGTGTGGCTCGGTGCCCCTTCGGGACGGCACAACGCTGAACACAAAGGAGATGTTTGTTGTGTGTAAATCAGCTGTGATGCCACACCCACTTCCGTGGCAGTTTCCTCCACTGACCATGGTGGAACTTGAGTCTGAGTAAACTTGCTCAGATTGGCATGTAAGCGGTCTCCTTTGTCATTGATTGTATAAATAAGCCCTCATCTCTGGGCAAGCGAAGGTCACACGAGGGCGGATGTAGGTCTCAGCGAAGCGAGCAGAGTGGGGCAAGACACAAACACGGATGCAAATAGCAATGACCCGCAGTTCTTTGCTAAGGGCTGAGTATGACCGAGGCGACGTTTTAAGGGGGCAGTGGCTGTGGCAGCCTACCTCTTAGCCAGTCAAGCATTAGGGGAGCAGGATTGGTGTGACTCCTCCTTGGACTTTCCATCTCTTCGATGAGTCCTGGAGAAGTTTTCTTCATCTCAAGCCTCTCCCTAGAAAACTCAGGCACTTCTGTTGATCCTTCTCTGGTCTGATTCCTGAAAGGGGTTGGGGGCAGAATGTTTTCAGCACTGGTTTAGTAATGGTGGAAGCGACTTCAAATTTTCCATCGCTGACAGGTGTGTGTGCAGTTGGGTGTGCTGGATCCAGAGATCAGATGTTCTCTTCTGGCCTTGTTATTTTGTCTGTTTTCCAAAGACGCGGTCTTGATCGCCACTGCCAACAGTAAGCACCCTTTGGGCAGCATGTGGCCATTCCCCCACACCGTAAAGACCTGGTAAAGCAGGTGTTATTTCTGAGTGAAGGGTGCAGCCAGCAACTAGTGGCCTCTGGGCCAGTTTGGCTCCCTTGCATATGTAGCTTAGCCTGGCTTCCCAGTGGCCAATTCCAGAGGCAAAGGGTGGGGTGGATGGCCAGTGTTTGTAGCAACGAAATTTGGCAGCTAGCCATGTTGAAGCCACTTTGGCCCAACCTGCTCCCTTGCCAAAAGCTCTCTCTGACAAAGCGAGTTGCTTATCAGGAACTTGAGGGCGTGAGTCCCAATCCCTCTTTCCCGGCCGTATAAAAGGCCTTTTCATGAGCAGCGGCTTTGGGTTCCCAGACGTGTCTTTTGCTGTCTGGAATGGCCGGCATGGGCTTAGGGTTTTGCCAGAGCCTGTTTGGCCTGCCTTCTCTGTCAACAGGGAGCATCATCAGCATCCCTTTTGGTGTCCTTAGGTTACAAGGCAGATCCATGAGCATGAGCAGGAGAACGAGTTGCGGGAACAGATGTCAGGATATAAGCGGATGCGGCGCCAGCACCAGAAGCAGCTGATCGCCCTGGAGAACAAGCTGAAGGCTGAAATGGACGAGCACCGCCTCAAGCTGCAGAAGGAGGTGGAAACGCATGCCAACAACTCGTCCATTGAGCTGGAGAAGCTGGCCAAGAAGCAAGTGGCCGTCATAGAAAAGGAGGTGAGTCGGACACTGGGCAGTGGTGCTTTGGGGCCGAAACGCAGGATGCTGGTGTAAGTGTTCGGTGCATGACTGATCTATGCGTCACTTGAAATGTGGGGGTAGCATCGTAAACTGTACCATGCTAGACTGTAAGTGGGGAGGGAGCCCTTTACATATGGTAAAATGTATCTTTGTTGAGAAAAAGTTGGGTGTATATGTTCCCAATAGCATAATGGGGAGCTGGACAGGTCCAGTGGGTGTAACTTTGGCTCCGGCTTACCCAGTTTGAATGGATGCTTCTCAGTTTGAGGACAGGGATAGGATCCTTGGACAGCTGCGATCTGCCACCTCTTGCGAGATCCCTGACCTTCCTGGTCAAGCTGAGTGGTGAATGGCAGCGGTAAAGACCTCTTACAGCCAGGGGTCATCCCCTTTCCTAAAGGAGGCAGCGTTTTGTTTAAAAAATGAAATGCCCTGAATCCCATTGGAGCCAAGTAGTGGATTGTGAGCGCCAGGATTTTCTGGATGTAACAGATTATGTAGATCCATTTCATTCTGGTGTCAGGCCTAGTTGTGGGACCAGAACCATTTTGGTCGCCTTGGTGAAGCATCTGTGCCAGGAACTGAACAGGAGGGTTGTGTCCTGTTGGTTCTTTCAGTGGCTTTTGAAGCTGTTCACCATTGAGCAAAGACACGGTTATATAGTTGCTCCAGTGTTCTTTCAAGCGCTGGGAGAGCTTGTCCAGAGTTGTGGGTTTTGGCACCACCAATATTCCAACGATGCCGAACTCTTTGTCTGTATCTCAGCTAAGTGCAAGGAAGCTGTTTGGGTGCTCACTCAGTCCCTGGTGTTGTCAGTGGACTGGATGCAGGCAAACATATTGAAGGATCCGTGTGGTCAGTGGAAGAGCAAACCAGGGGTTAGGCTTGCAGCCCATGCTGGATGGGACTACTCTCCCCCTGAAGACTCAGTCTTGCACTTGGTGGGTTTTCTTAGACTCTGCCCTGATCCTGCTTGCCCAGGCCTGTGCACAATTGGAGCTAATGTGTCCACCGCATCAGTTCCCAGGGAAGCCCGATCTGGCCGTGGTCACACATGGCTTGGTTGCGTCTTGTCAGGGCCACTTTAACATTGGGGCTACCTTTGAACTTGGTTCAGAAGCTGCAGCTGGTTGGTCCAGCAACGGTTGCTGGCTGAAGGAACTTGCATCTTCCTTGTTAAGCAGCAGCCAGTCTGTTTCCAGGAAGAAGTCAAAGTGCTGGTTATGGCTTAGAAAGCCATACACAGCCTGGGCCTGGGCAGCCCGAAAGACCACTTTTTCCCATGCAACCCTGTCTAGCTCCTAAGATCTGAAGATAAATACTAACTTCAGAGGTGCGTTTGATGAAGACGCAAGCAAGGGCAACTCCCAAAGGAAGCAGGTCCACTTCCCCTTTGATGTCCTTTCACGGGTAGGCAAAAACTGTTTTAAGTTGGTCTTTAACCTGCAAGTCTGATGAGTTCAGTGCTGCCTTTAATCATATTTTTTTCCTGTAAGTACTATGTTTTTATTGTATTTCAATGCATTGTTTTGATTTCTGGAAGCATGAGTGCCATTTTTTACTAGAAAGTTGGGGTACAAATCAAATTAAAACCCAGCTTAGTTTGCTGTTTTTCTAGTTGTAGGGAAACATTTTCTACATGAAGAGTCATTATACAAATATGATCCATGGTTTGCATACTAAAACGGTACAGTCCAGCTTTCCACCACTACATCAGATTAGAGGAAGGCTTTTCAACATTTCACGGACGGATTTTGGTTGGGGTTGGGCAATTCTGGAGGTTTCAGGGGCCATTCCTCCACTGGGACTCCCTCCTCCCACAGACAGCAGGGAGTGGATGGAACCTGCGGGTCGTGTGTTGCCCACCCCTGACTTAGATAAAAGGAATCAGGGCATTCTTCTCAGATTTTCAAACAGCTCAAACAAGGGAGGGCTAGCTAACTCCTCAGAAGACAGGAATAATTTATTTATTTTGAATAATATGCAAAGTGCTCTCAATAGAATGGAAAACTGGGCTGAATCTAGCAAAAAGGAATTCAACAGAAGCAAGTCAATTTAGGCCAAAGCAAATGCATAGGTCTCCGATGGGGGTATTTTGCATCACCTTGAAAAGAAAAGGCTGGGTGAAAACGCGCTATGGCTGTTTCCCCACACCTGAAGAGGTGTCACCAGGAAGAAAGTATGGAATTGTTCTCTGATGCCCGAAAGGGCAGGACTAGATAGCATGGGCCTCAGTGACAGGACAGAAGCTTTTGTAAACTGAATTTTGCAAAAAGCGGCTTAACAGAGAGCACGTTTCAACAGGAGATGCAGTTACCTAGCGATGGGCTTTGCATAGCCATATGGTTGCAGTGCTGTACATCCGAATTTCCATGTGACGTGTCAATCACACCTGTACAACTCGGTTGGCCCCCAGGACTCTACTGCAGTGAGGAACCCAACTCTCCAACTGGAGCAGATTCTGCAATCAGATGCGTGTGCATATGCACCACAGGGACGTCACACTCCTATCCCGATTCTTAATGTGCCTGCTTGAAAGTACCACTTACTTAAGTCGAGTTTATTTTTCCATAAGCATGGTCTAGGACTGCTCCCTTCTCTGTTTTATTTCAGCAGGGCTTACTTCTGCAGCTGCCGCGGAGAGCCTGGAAAGTAGCATAGCCTGTCCTTTGCCAGCAGGTTGCCCAAGCTCTACCTGCAGCAGCTTCAGTTAAGGCAAAGGTGGGGAGCCAGCTGCTTTTAGTCCGTTCGCCTTTGCTAAGCTGGAAAGCTGCAAGCCTGCAGCTGGATGAGTGAGCACCTGTGGAAGTGGAGCAGGGATGGGACTCAGAGGCCTTCCAGGCCCCTTCTGTTCTGACCTGTTTTGTTCTGTCCTGCAACCCCCATCATCCCTGACCACTGGCTGTGCTGGCTTGGGCTGATGGGGGTTGAATTCCAGCAGCATATGGAGAGTCACTGGTCCCCCACTCTGAGCTGAAGGTTCTCAAGTGGTGAAGATCAGGCCTTGGAGAGCTGCTAGAAGCGGGACCAATGGGACTGGGATAAATTGGCTAATGATGCCGCCCTGTGCAGAGCGGCAGGAATTGTGGAAGTCTTTGCGTGCTCCCCTCCGCAGCCCCGTCGGTCCCAGTTCTGTGGCCAGGAGCAGGGATGAGAAAACTGAAGGAGTTCTCCGAAAAGGAGGGCTGCATGTTTGGGGGGGCGTGGTGCCAAGCCTGTGGCTGCACCAAGGGCCCGAACGCAGCAGACGGCACCGCTGGAAACATCCGTAGCATCTTAACCGTCCTTCCTGGTTTTATTTTTGTGTCTGTCTCCTTTAGACAAAGGCAGCGGCAGCAGATGAGAAGAAATTCCAGCAGCAGATTTTGGCTCAGCAGAAAAGAGATCTGACCAATTTCTTAGAAAGTCAGAAGAAGCAATACAAGATTTGCAAGGAGAAGATTAAAGAGGCAAGTAAATCTTCCCTTGATCCTGGGCAAAAGCCAAAGCGTATTCAGCCTGGAAATGCTGCGAGTGCATTTGGGACTGTTTGGCCAGTTTCTCCATAATACCTTGGGGCCCCACTCGCCCTGCTGGCAAGCCCTCCCCCCCCGCCATACCATTGTTGCTTCCCTTAATTTAGTTTATATCCTGACCTCTTTCAAAGGACGATGTAACAAAACAGCACACCTTAAACCACAAAGAAAAGTGAAAGACCAGAAATTTTGCGCAAGCCCTCCTCTTTAGGCCAAGCCACTCGCAGCGTGGTTGTGGGCAACCTGTGCCTCTCCAGATGTTTTCGTTTACAGCCCTCGTGCTGACCCACTGTGCTGGCCAGGGCTGATGGGAGTTGTAGGCTAAAACACCTGGCAGGCTACCAGTTGCCCAGCACTACTGGAAGAAAGCTTTGTGCTGCCTCTGAAATAAGCGTAGGTGCATCCAGGGGGAAAGGCATTCCATAAATAAGAACAGTTCTGTCTTCCTGTGTGCTTTTGGGGTAAGAACTTTATTCCTGGGAGGTCGTTCCCAGGCAGGACTTCCTAAACTCCATCCCTTTGGAGCAAAGGAATCAAGGTTCCATGTATCAAGGTAATCTGGTTTCAGCACCAAAAAGTCTGAATTCTTCCATCTGTGCACATGTGCAGAATGTCCCTTATTTTTACCTAGTTGGTTCTGCCCCTGACAGTGAGGTGCTACGAGGCAAGCTGTAAAGTGCCTTGGAATCCTGTTCCCAGCACCAAGTCATTTTCTTTCTTAACTGAGCATTAGTCACTGGCTTCCAAATATCTTAGTAGCCATAAAGACCCACATAGAAACAGAGCCAGTCAGAAGGGGCCTCCCGGGCCATCTAGTCTGACCCCCGGCTCCAGCCGGCTCCGCTCACGACATGCCCACCATGTGGACGTCCAGCCTATCCTTGAACACCCTCACCGATGGGGCTTCAACCACCTCCCGTGGAAGCCCATTCCACACCCTCGGGGTCCTGACTGCCAGGAAGTGCTTCCTGGCATCCACCTTAAGTCTTGGTTTCCTGAGCTTTGCTCCGCTGGAAGACGTCCTGCCCACATCTTCTTTTGTGTGCAGAAAGCAGCTTGCCTGGGAAGAAGCAGGAATTTTAACTTGTTCTAACACACGGAGGTGTCCGTGGCGGTGGAGAAATCGACACTGGCTGCCTCTGGATGCTTGTGCATCAGCAGCTACAGCAAAACTCCTTGCAAGGCTGCGTGAGAACAGAAGAGGAGAGGGAGCAGAACAAACAAACCAAAAAAAGCAGGCCCCGCGTTGAAATGTTGTATGAATAGGGATTCTGCCTCTAGAAAATCGAAAGGTTGCTATGCCAAGGCTTAGTGTCTCCCTTTGCTAACATCCTCTGCTATGCTCTAATTCGGGCTTGCTGTTCCATGGAACACTTGTCCTTAGCAAGGGCAGGTTTGATCAGGAAAAAGGGGCCCTCACCCCTACAGCGATGGCTCCACGTACCTTTTACCCGGAGTATTAGACTTCACAGGAGGTTGTTGCCTGGGGCCCTAGCATGCTCTCTGTCCAGAACACTCTGGTAGGCTTCATTTTCTGGACATGCAGAAGTTCCTCTGTGTCTTAATTATCCCATGTCCTCAAGGCATTGCCAGATATAATCCAGTCTGACTTGAGTGCCCAGTTAAAACCAAGTCTGCAGTGCTGCCCTTCGAATGACCTTCCGGTATGCCTTCACTTCCATCGACGGAGCTCTCATCTGGCCACATTAGCCACCCAGTTTACCTCTCATCTTTCCACGCATCCCTTATAAATGTCCCCCATTGTGTGTGAAGCAACTCTTCTATTCCTTGGGACGGTTATCATTTCATTGCTTCCTTTATAGGAAAAAAAACAAACCTTATTTGGCTTTGGGAGTTCTCTGCCTCCCCACACCCTCAATGCCATGCTTATGATCGAAAGAGAGCAAGTTTTCCTTAAATGTTCCCCACGTGTTTATGTCGGGGCCCTGAGAGGATAGTCCTGTTTGAGCTGGAAACTCTGCAATTGTTCCTATGGATTTGGTGTGAGCTGCAAAGCAGTCGCAACTCTGTGGAAGAAAAGCACAAATGCTTCTGTCAAATGCAGCTTGTCCATCACAGTGGGGAATATGTGGGAAGGGCAGCAAAATGAGGCCCTGGCCCTGAGAGCAGAGAAAAGCTTCACAGGATGCTGGCCAGCCACTCCCCGAAGTGTTTGCTACCTCTGGACTAAGCACTTCAGGGCTTCTGCCCATGTTGAGCTTGAGTGTGCAAGCATTAAAGTGCTGTGTGTCACACTTATTTCATATGGATAAATTCACTGAAGAGTCAGAATTGTCTGCAACATTCTGTTAAGTTTACACTTACTAGCAAACCCAGATTTTCTCCCACACGCTACAGACTGGCACTGATTGTGGCTTCCAGTTCAGGTGTGGGAACCAGGGCTGTGCGTCTTTTTGAAGCTTGGATTGAGCCTACCACAAATATTCTTGCCCCTTGCCCTCTTGCTTTTCTCTAAGAAATGTTTTGAACTGTTGCAAGCAGTGCACGCTCTTAAGTTTCTTCCAGTATATAATCTTCCAGATCAAATCAGGACAGCGTGCTGTGAAATTTCTGCAAACTTTATTTTTAAAGCATCAGCATCGTATGTCTTTTTAAAATATGCTGCACTAAATACCTGCAGCTAAAGAGCTTTTAGGATAATTGCATTAACTTCCCCAGCTGTGCTACTTTCTTCTCTTGTGGCTTGGGCCTATGAGTTTATTTTAGGTACTTGCTCTAAAATTTGTGTAAGGGCCAACACTTACTCAGCAACCCGGCCTCTGTATGGATTCACTTTTCTTCAGCTGATGAAACACAGACATGAGATGAAGTTTCATAGGAAGCACTGAGTGAAGGTTGATGTTTTTGTGGCATGACTGACTTGCACAGATCTTAGGCAACTCACATGCAAAATCACGCCATTCCAGCTGTGAAATGCAAGGTAATTACCAGTGCAGTGCGATTATTCACAGTTTCCAAAAGAGATCAGGACCTTGCCGGGCCCATCATACATAAGGTGGACAGATGAGTGCACCCATCCATGCGCGTGAACCAGATCCATGTTTATGGCCCATTGGCCCCAGAAAGAGGAGTTTTGAAAGTTGTAATGCACAAAATCTCTCATTTGCAGTGGCAAGTCCAAGACTGCCCGCTGAGTTCGAAACTCCTCCTTTCGTGAGTTCTCACCAGGTTGCCTTCGGCAAGTCACTTTCTCGAAGGTGACACGAAGACAGCAAATGCTTAGTCAGTTAGCTGGTAGGTTCCTTTACTGCCCAAGAGTCTGTCCACCCAACTGAAAAATGTTCGACATATCCTGGGTGAGGTTGCGCCTCCGCTAAAGGATAAGATGTGTGGTTTGGGGGTGCTCCTAGGCCCCAGGCTGTCGCTCGCTTCACAGGTGGCCTTGGTGGCCAGGAGCACCTTCTTTCAGCTTAGGCTGCGTTTCCAGCTACGCTCCTACTTGGACGAGCAGAACCTTGCCTCAGTTACTCCTGCGCTGGTAACCTCTTGCCTGGACTGCTGCAATGCGCTCTGCGTGGGGCTGCCTTTGGAGACAGTCTGGGCAGTTGATCCGAAACGAAACAGTGCAGTTATCAACAAGGACCAGTCCTGGAGAGCACTGGCTGCAATTCAAAGCGCTAAAGCTTCATCCAGAGCCCTAAATGGTGTGGGACCGGGATATCTAAAGGAATGCCGGTCTTCCTATATCCCTACCAGATCCCTTAGATCTTCAGCTGAGGCCCTCTTTCATGCCCCCTCCCAAATGAAGTGAGGGGGGAGTTGGCAAGAAAAAGCGCTTCCTTTGTTATCTCATCTTTCTCATCTTTGGAACACTTCTTCTAAAAAGGTGCCACTGGCACCTTTCCACCCCCAAGTAAAGTCTTTTTAATTTAGTACCTGCATTTAGAACTATGGTTTCCTTGCTTTTCTTTGCTGATTGTATTGTTTATATTCCCCTCCTGTTTTGCACCTTATATCAGTTGACTTTACGTAGTTTTAGATGTTATTGTTCCATTTTACTATAGTTGTGTTATGCTGCTGTTTCTGTTTTTTGTGAACCACCCAGAGAGCCCCCAGGCTATGGGGCAGAATACAGAGACAATAAATAAATCACTTTGCATGGTTCACAACAGCACATTAAAAATACAGTATAAAGTACATCATATTAAAACACAAGAAGTTTACAATACAAAACTTAAAACCAAATTTATGTATCAGATTGTTCTAAAAATTTGAGATCATGTAGGCAAAATACTTAAGAATATGATTATTAGTACTAGTATATCAAAGTCCATTACGGATAGAGGCAGCGAAAGCACAAGGTTAGCACGGGCCTTAGTTGGGTGGGAAATATGGTTGCCCCTCAGCTCAGGTGAAGGAAGAAACAGCTCGCTCCCTGGCCTGTTTCACCAGCCAAGGGCTTTTCTGTCCTCCTGCCTGGGTGACATAGTTTCAAGGGCATCAAGGTGGGGCCATATGTGGGTTATGGAATTAGCAGGGTCCATGTTCTCTGGGAATTAGCCAAGGAAAGGTTTGCTGATGCAGGAATGCGTCGGGGCAAAGTAGTTTTTCACATGTTGTGGAGGATGTGATGGTCTCAGTATTCTCTCTGTATTTTAAAGATAGGGACAGGGCTGTGAGAAACACAGAGGCTCTCGCATACTTTTAAACACCTGGGTAATGCGACTTGTGGGCGTGCAGCCGCTGTGATAGAAAGTTGCCTGCACAACTCCACGCCCAGCCTGGTGCCGCCTTCCACTCCCACAGACGTTTGCCACGCCACCGCAGAAGCTGATGTCCAAGTGAGCGTCCTTGAGAGCTGCAGGGAGCCATGTAGAAACCCGCTGAGGAGTTTCTGGCTACTCCTTTCTGCTCAAGATGCTTCTTGTTTCCCTGGCAGCACCGCCTGGCTAAAGACCCGTTTGCACCATTTTCTTGCACTGTTCCTCTGTTGATTTCCACGTGGTTAATGGATCCTTTGGAAATCTCCATGCACTTCTGCTTGCTTGCATGCATACATCGAAACACAGAGGGAGTCAGAGGGGACCCCCGGGCCATCTAGTCTGACCCCCGGCTCCTGCCAGCTCCACTCATGACATGCCCACCGTGTGGACGTCCAGCCTATCCTTGGACTCCCTCACCAATGGGGCCTCAACCACCTCTCGTGGAAGCCCATTCCACGCCCTCGGGGTCCTGACTGTCGGGAGTGCTTCCTGGCACCCAAACGGAACCTTGGCTCCCCTGAGCTTGGCGCCCCCACCTCTTTCCTGGCCTAAGATTAGACCCAAGACAGCACGCTCAACAGCTCTTCTTTCGGCCCTCATGCCACCAGGGAGTGGAACCGGCTTTCTGTTATCAAGATGCACTATGAACAAACAACCGTTTTCTAGCCCTGCAGCCGGCATGGCTTTCTGCTGGCCATTGCCGCTCGGTGAAGGAGAGCTTCCTTTCAAAGACAGATTCCGAATTTCACTTTCCAGGCTGTGAGTGCGTCCCGTTCTCCGAGCTTTAAGTCATTCTCTCGCGCTCTTCTTTGCAGGCCTTTTATGTCGCGTATAAACTGATTAGCTCTCAGCGGGGGCAGTTTGAAGGGTAATGGGCTTAAACCTCTTTTGGAAGGGGCTTCAAAGGAGTGCCCTGTGTTTATTGTGAAGCTTGTGCATGCAGCAGTGGGACAGTGGCGTGTGTTTTCTCCCGGCCATGCAAGCAGGCCGCCTTTAACGAACGGCTTTGGTCCTTGGCCTTTCCTTTTCGCACACGCAGGAGATGAACGAGGATCACAGCACACCGAAGAAGGAGAAGCAAGAGAGGATATCCAAACACAAAGAGAACCTGCAGCACACGCAGGCTGAAGAGGAGGCCCATCTCCTCAGCCAGCAGAGACTCTACTATGACAAAAACTGCCGTTTCTTCAAGCGAAAAACCATGATCAGGAGGCATGAGTTGGAGCAGCAAAACATTCGGGAGGTATCACCACTTAGTCTTCTCCTTTTCCTCCTCCTCCTCTCCGTTTCCTTTCCAGATATTTCCAGGGGAAGCACTGGGAGCTGGTTGCCCTCTTGTGCTTTACCATGTTGTGCCTATGAGCACTTGCTAAAACCTGTTGTCCGTTTCACCCTGCCCAGCAGACAGACGATGCTGCTAGAGCCAACCACCTGTTTCAAAATCCAAGAGAAAGTAGCAGGGCAAGGATAAATACTATTTCAGCGTATTAACTCAGTTTCTAAGGGCGATGCAGCCAAAGGGGCTAGAGCAAATGAATCATGCGATAAAAGGGCACCTCACAGGAAAAGCAGTTCTGCATGTCTGTGCTTCCGGGAAACTCTTCGGGTGGGGCAGACCCTTCTGCATTGCATGCTGGAAGGCCAAGCATCCAGCCCTAAGCATTTCCAGGCAGTGCTTCCTTGGGAAGACCCCACCTGAACCCCGGAGAGCTGCTGCAGGTGGCAGTGACCATGCTAAGCTGGGGGACGAGGCTGGTCCTACTGTGTGTGTCCGCGTGTGTTCAGCATGGAAAGCTTCTGCTAACCGGGGCTGCTCCACAGAATGCTAAGAGCCATGAGCTTCCGGGCAAGGGGTTTCTTACACATTTTGCCAAAGCCAAGCTAGCTTAAGGGATTTGTACCCTTTTGAAAGGTGGACATGCCTTCATAAATTCTCCAAGCTTTCTCCAGCTTTGTTCCTGCCCAGATGTTGTAGGAACATCCCTCAGGCCGTGCTGGTCGATGCCTATGGCGCTGTAGTCCAAACTATGCTGAGCACGCCATGCTTTGTCCTGAGCGTGGTCTAACTGCTCTTTAGATAAGCTTCCGGCTTCTCAACAAGCCCTTTATCGTGCAAACCCCTGGCCTGATTTATTTTATTTTTATTTATTTATTTAAAACATTTCTAGGCCGCCCCCGTCGCAACAAAGCCTCGGGGCGGCTCACAACATTCATAAAAAATGCAATTAATAATTTAAAAACTGGTAGCACCTCAGCTATATATATTAAAATCTATAAATACAATAATAAATTAACTGTTAAAATAACTTTTAAATAAAAAGGTCTTCACCTGGCGCCGAAAAACAAATAACAGTGGTGCCAGGCGGACCTCTCTGGGGAGCACATTCCATAGGTGGGGTGCCACCGCAGAGAAGGCCCTCCTCCGGGTACTTAGCCTCCTAATATCATTCACGGAGGGTCCCCGGAGAGGGGCATCAGCTGCCGATCTCAGGGGGCGGGAGGGCATATATGGACGCAGGCGTTCCTTTAGATATTGGCTTTTTCTGGGTGGCCAGCGGAGGTGCGTGTCGATTAGTAGTTGCCCCCACATGTTTTCTTACTGCTTTTATGTCCCTTTTCTTACCAGAACAAAATACAGAGCAGAAATGGCATCACTGTGCAAAGCCTTTTGGCTAATAATTGCCCTGGGCACATCTTCAGCCTTTCCGTAAAACAACGCTTGTCTGCCTTACCAGATTCTTGGTTCCCTGAAGGATAAAATGTTTCAAACCCCCAGAGAAAGCCCAGAATGCATATATTAAACTTGGCCAAAAGTGTGGGGAGCTCCCAGCCTGAATGAAAGGGTGCAAAGGACAGAAATGCACCCATATTATTCTAGGTTTATTGATCAACATTACACAGGGAGTTCCATCAAGATGGGGAATCCATTTTCATTTCTGATTTGCATGAAATGACCACTTTGGATATATAGTTTTGAGTATATGTGACTTATGCTAAATTTGTATCAAAGACTGCCAACTTACTGACCAGCTCAATTATTTAGTTTCTGTCTGTCTTGGGAAGTAAATTTCACTGTGCCACTAGCAGCTATAGTTCTGAAAATTTAGGGGTGCTATAGAGTAATAGGGGTGCACCCATTTATTGCCTCCCAAGGATGAAAAATGAGTTTTGGATTCTAGAGTAATGTATATTGCTGCATTTTTAAAAAATGGCACAGCAAGCCATCGTTTAAAAGGTGGCTTTTGCTTATTCTGTGATTTCTTTGACATACAGACTTGTCTTGCACATAATCTGAACCCAGGATTTATTTAACCTGTGGGTTTCTGAATTGTGGTTTGTCACAATGTACAGACCCAGCCATACCAGCAGACCGTGGCTTGTTCGCCTGCATGTCAGGAAGATTTCTGAGCCATTTAGCCCATCAGGTGCTGGGGCTGAGCAGTCGTAATCAAGCACACACATTGCTTCTGATTTGAAACAGCAACCCAGGAATGCCCTGATCTTAGGTTGTTATCTGAACCCAGAAACTTGGTTGTTCAGGGGTTAAACAACCAAGAGGTAATGCAACAACCAATTGTGAGCAATTGTTTGGGCCAAGAATGAGGCAGAGGCAAAGAGGGTGCAGTTTGGAAAGCGATATTGAAAATGGCAGATAAAACTTGGTTGGAAAATCTCAACAGTTGGTACCGTTCTCAAGGTAATGGAAACAGGCAAAAGTTTGGGGCTGCTTTAATGCACTGCATGTATCTGATACAGAGACTGCTTTCTACTGGAATGTGGATTTGAGTTTCTTTTCTCCAGTATATGACCACATTAGGCAACAAACCCTCGTGCTGGAAAAATCATTTGAAGAGACGTCAGCGTTCTGGTTTGTGCAGGGCTAAATCAGCCATTGCTGACTTTCAAATGATGTCCCAGCCGGCCTCCACTTAGCCCCACCAACCCTGAGGTGGCTGCCATTTTGGTTTCACAGATCCTGAACTCTTCTCCTGTTTCTAGTGATACAGTGTCCAAGCAGGCAAAAGGAGAACAAAGCCACCTTGAAAAATGGTACAGAGTCTTGCGACACCTTTAAAGAGTAACAGCTCTTTATGGCATAAGCTTTCAGGAACTGGAGCCCATTCCGCCAGATACAGGCTCTCTTACGCAGGCCTGTATGCAGTACACATCAGTGGAGGATGGGGTGAATCGTAGACGGTGTTGGGGAGAAATTGTGTGCTGAAAGCACCAGCCGGGACGAGGAACAGTGACCATTCACAAATGATCCAGTCCCAACAGCATGAATATTCTGGCCCTCGATAAAGCCAATTAACACATTTTGTGTGATTTTTTAAAAAGATCTCTCCTTACTAAAGCCTTCAGAGAAAGAGTTGAGCCTCCCGATGAATTTTAACTCAACCGTCTTTCATTCTAATCTCCCGTTGAAATTTCTTTGCCCTGTATAGGATGCAGAAGGGCACAGTTGCCTGGCCCAGTCGGAAAGAGCTACTTGCTAGCAACTTAGTGATGGCCGTAACGCAGGGGCAAGAGCTTCTGCGGTCCAGATGCTGTCTTTGTCCCTGCTCTGGTAACTCTGTTCCAAGACCTGTAACATCACCCACGACAACAGCGGTTCACCCGCTTCCTTATATTCCAGTTGGGTGTCTGTGAGCGATACCAATCCACGTTCTACACAGAACTAAAAGGCCAGGCTTTGCAAACAATAAATCAGATATTAAAAAAGCAGTATATAAAAACCAGCGAGGACCACATCAGCCTGTTACTGGCCTGAAAGAGGCCATTGTGGAACTTCAGAGGGATACTGGGATGCAAGACCGACAAGAGTTACAATTTGCCAAGAGGTGACATTAGTTCTTTAGGAGCTCGAATCAGGATAAAGTTGCTCTTTTTTTCTTAAATCATGCTACATGTGTTAATTGATTTGCCCAATGCCAGGATGTTTGTTTTACGAGCAACAACTGTTTTGTGAAAAGCTGCTGTTCAGAATTTGATTTTCACTGTCCAGATTTTACGCTTTTGATTTCTCTCCGAGCTCATGGTTATAATCCCACTGCAACCACCACATGCATTGTGTATATTCCTGTGACTGTGGATAAAACCTCAAGCATCTGATGGAGAGAACTGTCTTTAGGGCATTCCAAGGGTCTTCTTCATTTGGCTGTAAGAGACAAATGCGGCTGTCTTTCTGGGAGCGCTTTAAACATGCAGAACAAAGGGGGGATGTTTGCCCCTTTCAAGAAATAGTTCTTCTCATGGCCTCTCATCACATTCGAGCACTGTCGCTTCCTTTGAAAATATATTCCATGAAGCCTTAACTTCCCAGGTTCATTGCCCCAACCTGAGTGAGGACCATTGTCTGGAAGGGGCTTGCAGAGGGTACGACCAGTTCAAGGAGGAGAGGTCTGCTGGTGACCCTTAACTGGGATAGCGGAATGAGGACCTTTGAGTTCAGAGGCTTCTGTGTGGGAACTGTCCCTTGGGAATGCCTGTCATGTGAGCGTTCTCACAGTGACTTGAAATGCTTGGAATGAACAGACTGCGTTGCTCGCATCAGAAACCAAGCATTTGGTGGCCTCCAGATGTCTGGGCTCCCACTCCCCACAGCCCCAGACAGTATGGCCAGTGTTCAGGGATCATGGGAGTTGAAGTTCTCACACTCAGAGGGCACCAGGTTGCCTACCTGTGTGCTAGGCGTGTCTTAACCAGCAAGCGTGGTCCTCCGGGCACTGCTTGCTTGCTTGCGTTGTATTGCAGCTCTGTATGGCGTGAGTCGCAGTGGCCCAGTTCAGATGTAGCAACAAACCATGGTTTCTTAGTATGAGCCTGAACCCTGGAATTCAAGGAGCCCACTTTGCTTCTGCATAGACCACTGTTCCCTATTATGTCCTAATTATGGAAACTGGTTTATTTGATGGCAGGGTAACAAACCCATATCAAACTAAAATGTCATTCTGCTTTAATCAGCCACCATTGGATCCTGGCTTGCTTCATTAGCCATAGGATAAACCACAGTTTCCTGAGTTTGGACATGAATGGCAACTGCAGGTGATTCCAAAGCCACACATGATGGTGGCAGGCAGGGCAGGGCAGGGCATGAACGCAAGGATCATGCTTGCACCAACCAGACATGCTTTGTTGTGACGTCTGAACCACGCCAGCATGTGAAGAGGGAAGAATTCTGCATTGCACCCCAGTCGATCCAGGGGGATATGCGCCAGGCTGTCGGGGCACGGAGAGGGAAAGCCCTTGCTCATCCCTGCACACTGAGAAGGAGAAAGTTGTCGTGTGTACGCACATTCCTGCACATGCCGTGAGGCCATTGCTTATCATAAAATACATGCCGGAGGAGGAAAAAGTTCCCCCCCTCCCCGCTTTACCTTATTCTTGCTATTGATGTTGTTACAGGCACACAAAACCCCAGGTAGTTTCCACAAGGAGTTTGCAGTGTATGATTCCGCAGGGGGAAGGGCAGAGGTGGGCAAACTGGGAAGTTGAAGCAGGTTCCGGTGCATCTAGTTTGGCTTGGTTTGCGTAGGGCGGGAGTGGGGAACATGGGTGCCCAGGCTCCTCCTGTGCTGCCTGCACAGAGGCAGGGGCACGCACATTCTCTCTCTCCCATTGGTGGCACCCACCAAGCCCTGCCCACTGCCCCTTCTGACTGCACCCATAACTTGCCACTGGGTTTCCAACGCTAATGGCTCCCCAAGAGGAAAAAGGTGCCCCACCTCCGTGGGCAGAAAAATGGGTTTGCAGGAACAGCGACAAGCAGCCGTGCAAAGGTGTTCTCCAGGGAACCCCTCTTGTCCAAATGGTCCGGCTGAAAAGGTGGGGTCTTCCAGGGGGCAGAGGCCCTTGGGGAGGCTGAGAGTGGTCGAGCAAAGGTCTGGAGCAGGACGCTGAGGCTGGAGAGGAAGGAGAGGCTTTTGCACATTTGACTCTTTTGCACACACACGTGCAAATAGTAGCTCCAGATGCTGCTAGACTTGAGTCCTGTAACCCCCAGCCAGCATGGGAATTGGAATCCAACACACCTGGAAGGCCATGGGTGTCCCATCCCTGTTCTAGTTAAACAGCCGCAATGTTGGGCCTAGAGATTGTACTTAAAAAGCTTTGGCAGTCACATGTACAGAGTATAAAATGAAAGGGTAGGAATATGCCTCTGTTCTCCAATGGGACGTGTCCAAAATTACAAGCGCCCTGGCTAGAACCTGGCCACCTTGTGGTGGGTGGACTTGGGCACACCTTGTCGTTTGGAGATTGGATTTTTAAAGTGGACTGCAGTTTGCTTTTTTAAAGTAGTGGCAAAATTTGCACAAACCACAGCCCCAGTTTGTGTAAAATGCTACCACATCACATGCGGTTTGTGTAAAATATGGCCACGGTTTGTGTAAATACAACCACAGTATGTGGAGTTGGCATAAAATAGGGATGCGGTGCGTGCAATTTGAGGCCGTAATTATACCTTTTGTTCAAACGGTTGCTGCATTTTGCACGAATTTCTCTGCCTTACCAAAGAAAAAAAGGGAAAGACCAGTTTCCCTTTTCACTCCTGGCCTGCTTTGAAACGGGGACCCACGTGCTGGCTTGACTTATGTCAGAGTGTGTTGGCACCAGCAGTGGGTTGATGGCTGGAATCCGTGGGTCCAAGCCGAGCCGGTCCCCAGCATCCTGACCCGCTGGCCAGCGTGTTCTTTGTCTTTCCCTGAGCTCATGCCACTCTCGGTTGCCACCTTTTGGGCAATTTGCAGAGGTGCACAGGAGAAAAGATTCCCGGGCATCATGAATAGAAACGAGCAGCCGAGGTTTGAACTACAGTAAGCTCCTGCATGAAGCCGACTCGCATTAGGCTCCGCACAGACAGCACAAGTGCTTCTCCATGCCCTGTTTGTTAAGCGTTCTGCTGGAGAAGAAGTAAAACTTTAGGCCGGCAGCTTCATCACCTGCTTGTGGTGGAGCCTTCGGCCGAGGCTTTGGACCGGGGTGGAGTCTTCGCCAAAGGCTTGCCGCTTCTGCCAGGTTTGTGGGAGAGCGGGGTTCAGCTGCTGGGCTTTGATCCGAGCCTCACCCGTGTGTTTTCTCCCACCATGCAGGAGCTGAACAAGAAGAGAACCCAAAAAGAGATGGAGCACGCCATGCTAATTCGGCACGATGAGTCGACACGGGAGCTGGAGTACAGGCAGCTGCACACGCTGCAGAAGCTGCGTATGGACTTGATCCGGCTGCAGCACCAGACTGAGCTTGAGAACCAGCTGGAATACAACAAGCGGCGGGAGCGGGAGCTGCACAGGAAGCACGTCATGGAACTGCGGCAGCAGCCCAAGAATCTGAAGGTAGTGCGCGGTGGCGCTACAGAGCCAGGGCGGTGTAGTGGTTAGAGCACTGGACTGAGGAGATCTGGGTTCTAGTCCCCAGTCCTCCATGAAGGAAACTTTGGGCCAGTCACAGACTCTAAGCCCAACCCGCCTCACAGGGTTGTTGTGGGGATAAGAGTAAGAGCAGAAGGAGAACGATGCAAGCTGCTTTGAGTACTTTGTAAGAATAAAAGTGGGGTATAGATCTAATAAATAAATAGGAGTAGGGTGTTGTGGAAGCTACGGTGGTGTAAGCATAGTTATCTGGCCTTACTTCTCCTGCTTTCTTCATTCCCTATGAGCGTAGGGCTGTCCTCACGCTCATTCCACCGTTTTGTGCCCGTGTATATCTTTCCTGCCCACAAAAGAAGTATGGGGCTCCAGAATTTTGTTCGGATATTGAATTTCCCATACACTTACCTGAAACTCTTCTCCTGCATGATTTAAAGGAAAAGCCCAAGAATGATCACTTGGAACAAGCTATAAACTCGGCTGGCACAGGCAAGATTAGCTGGTGCAGCCGAAGAGTGAATTCTTAGCATTTTAGGGCTTTTGCTCAGAAATCTCGTAAATAGCTGAAATCATTGAAGCATAATTTGAAATACACCGTAATTTTATGGGAAAACAGATCACTTTTTAGTTTATAAACTTTGTTTAATATTTCTTTGTATTCTGTCCCACTGCTGTGCTTTTATGCTAAATCAGTTGCAATTGTGGTTTTGTTGTTTCAAGTTAATTTGTATGTGTGTTTTAACTTTTGTTAACTGCCCAGAGAACCTCTGCTATTGGGTGGTATAAAAAAGAAAATAATAATAATAATGGCCAACTCCCTGTCAGTTCCAGACAAAAAGTTTTGTAACTCTTAAAAGAGCGCAGAAACACAGAAGATCTGTTTACCAGAATGCAAAAATGAAGGAATGGTTCAGAGCACAAGCAACGATCTCTTTTTCAGTCCATCCTGAACTCTCTAAAAATGCTGCAACGTGTCTGCCAACGCTTTGATATTAAAGATCTGTCTGTCGATATGGAGATGGGTCTAGACCCAGATATATGCACTAGTGTTGGGACAAAGCTCCATGCAATCTGCCCCTCTTCAGTTTGCAGGGTTCTCTCTTGTTGGGCCCTGTCTTAGAAAGTAAGCCAAGCCATGGGGAAGTCTGTGCATGCTCACAGAACCCTGGTCGCCCAGCCAGCCACATGCGGCAGAAACAGACTCGCAGTCCCAGGAAGGCAGAACCGGTGCCTGGGGAGTCGGGCATAGGGAATCCAGTGGATTTCCACCCCCAAAACCCATTCCTTACACATCCCTAAAGTACACATTTTCAAGCGCTAACTTGCAAATTCATGTTTTCTTGCCTTTTGCTGCAGGCCATGGAAATGCAGATCAAGAAGCAGTTCCAGGACACATGCAAAGTGCAAACCAAGCAGTACAAAGCACTCAAGAACCACCAGCTGGAAGTGACTCCAAAGAGTGAGCACAAAACTATTCTGAAGAGCCTAAAAGATGAGCAGACGAGGAAACTTGCCATCCTGGCTGAGCAGTACGAGCAGAGCATCAACGAGATGATGGCATCGCAAGCGGTAAGAGCCGCTCCGGGCTTCAGCTCTCCTTCCTCGAGTCTAAAGAGAGCCCCAGATTAGAGCAACGTGGCGCTTTGCCGGAGGATTTAGACAGAAACTGGGCAACCATCTTTCAGGGATGCATCCTGCCTGCGGTTCCTCTGTTGGGCAGAGGGTTGGACTAGCTGGCTACCAAGGCTAGGCTAGCTTTTTTGATTGATGGCTGGTTTGGCGGAGTGCTGTGGAAACTGCCAAGCTTGCTCACTCTTTCCTGACCTGGTCTGAAAAAAGTTTTGTCCAGCTGTGCAGATAAATAAATAATGTAGGAGTGTATATTGTTACACACGGTTTGATGATGTGATGCCTTGGAATGTTTGCAAACATTCCACTTGATGAGAGATTGAAGCAGGCGCCAAGGAATGCTTGGAGGCAGGGTGTGATCTGTTGCAGAGTAGTGGCTTAGAGACTGAGCTTCACATCCAAAAGTTTTACTCTTACCTCTGCCTTGGACTTAGTTGGAAACGTTCGGGAAGTTGCTTCTTCTCAGCCGCAGCGGCTGTGTCTGCATCATGGGATAAAACAATGATGACTTGCCTCTCAGGTCTGGGGTAAGGACTGCAGACGGTTAATGCATATGATCCACATTGAGTACTTGAAAGATCTCTGTAAAAGTAAAGTGTTACGCGTGAACCGAGTTTTGGGGCAGCTTCTAGGGGCAGGACTAGCTGTTTGATCAGAACAGTTAAAGGTACAGGGTCCAAGTCTGTAGTCAGCTGAAGTGCGGGAATGTGCAAAAAGTCCATTGCCCCATTGAAAAGGTGGGGGAAAGGACATAAAATTGAGGAAAATGGGACACGCTGAAATGCGTGACGGTTGTTGTTTTTAAGCACCTTAACAGCAGCCTTCCCCAGCTTTCAGACCCGTTAGGACTGCAGCACCCAGAATTTCCAGTTAATGGCCCTGCCAGATGGGAATTCTGGGAGTTGCAGTCCAAATGCCTCTGAAGGCCGCCGGTTGGGGAAGGCCGCCTTTCAGGGTGAGGAGGAGGAGCAATGAGCACCTGTAAATGAAGAAACAGGAGGACCGGAGTCGCAAAGGCCCTGCTGGAGGCCAGCGTGGCTGGAATGAAGTAAGGCGGACTGTCCAGTGGGAGGGCAGAAGGGGGAACATGGTGTCGAGTTGAGCAATGGAGTGGCTACGGAGAACAGGAGCAGGGCTGGCAGGACTCTGGGAGGCTCTCGGACAAGCCTGTTTGTGCCGTCAGCGCCAGGAAGCCAGCCACTTAAATCCGCACGTGCTCCGTCTTGCATGGTCTTCCTCCTTCTGGGTGCCTCCGTTTGCCCCCCTCTCCTGCCTCTCCATCGTCCTTAGCAGATTTCCTTAAGTCTCCTGGGTCTCCTGCACTGCGCTGCGGACAGGCTGAACAGCCCCCGGCTCAGGTGTGGCGGTGGTTGTCTTCCCAGCTGCGGCTCGACGAGGCTCAGGAAGCGGAATGCCAGGCCCTGCGGCTGCAGCTTCAGCAAGAGATGGAGCTGCTCAACGCCTACCAGAGCAAAATCAAGATGCAGACGGAAGCACAGCACGAGCGGGAGCTCCAGAAGCTGGAGCAGAGGGTGTCGCTGCGAAGGGCGCACCTTGAGCAAAAGGTACGGCCGGCACCCGCCTGCGTGGGGGGGCACAGTGGGGGCACGCAGCGGGACGGGGGGGGCTGCTCCTGGGAGCAGCGTTTGCAGGGTTCGCCCCATGCCGGGAAAGTCCTGGGGCCTGAGCGGGCTGTTCAGATTTTTCTGTGTGTGCCATTCATTCATTCATTCGTTTTATGTAAAAGCTGCCCGTAGGCATGATGCTCTCCAGGCGGCCATTATGTAAAATATCAATAATTGCATTAATAAAATAATACAATTAAAATATTGTTATACCTAGGCAAAATGAAGGATAGTAGGAGGGTAAGTACCCGGAGGAGGACTTTCTCTGCGGTGGCGCCCAATTTATGGAAGGCGCTCCCCAGAGAGGTCCGCCTGGTGCCGTGGTTATTTGCTTTTCGGCGCCAGGCGAGGACCTTTTTTTCAAACGTTATTTTAATTGTTAATGCTATTTATTTATTTTACTCTTTGGCCAGGGTGACTTAAATTATACTGTTTTATATAGTGTTTATTTATTTATGATTGTGAGCCGCCCCGAGGCTTCGGCGAATGGGACGGCATAGAAGTTCTCTAAATAAATAAATAATAAATAAATACAATCTATATATCCACAAAATGTTAAAAAACAAATAAATGAAATTTAAATTAAAACGGGTGCTGTCCTATGAATAGTTTCAGTAGTGCCATAGGTGCGCTGAAAGAGAAGAGTTTACCATATTTTTCGCTCTATAAGATGCACCTGACCATAAGACGCACCTAGTTTTTAGAGGAGGGATCCATGGAAAGCTTCCTGATAATCACAAGCACATTCCCCATCACTTCCCTATGGGCTTCATTAAAAGACGGGTTGCCATTTGAAAACACACACGGACCTGTGATTAACAGCTCTCACCTGCGCCAGAGGAGGGGGTGGAGCAGGGCGCGCCGAGCTCGTGCCGGCCAGGTGTGGTGCAGCCAGGCCGGCAGCGTGCCAGCGGCGGTCTCCTGGGCGGCACGGCGGCGGCGGCAGGTCTTCCCGGGCGGTGGGGGTGAGCAGTCCGTCTCTCCGTGCGGCCGGCGGGTTAAAGCCCGTGGTTCCTCCTCCTCCGCACCGCTCCCCCTGAGCGGCACAGCTCTCACCTGCGCCGGGGGGGGGGTGGAGCAGCGCGCGCCGAGCGCGTGCCGGCCAGGTGGTGCCACGTGGTGCAGGTGGGCTGGCAGCATCCCGGGCGTCGGGCACACACACATTCGCTCTATAAGTCACACTTTTTTCCCCCTCAAAAGTAAGGGGAAATGTCTGTGCGTCTTATAGAGCGAAAAATACTGTATATCAGGCACCTAAAACTTGATAAAGTGGGTGTCAGATGGATCTCCGATGACAAAGCGTTCCACAGTTGGGATGCCACGGTTGGGACGCCACCACGGAAAAGGTCCTGCTCCTTGCCGCTTTCCCCTTAATCCCCCTAGGGAGAGGGACCCATAGGAGCACCTCCACTGGTGACCTTAAACAAGGGGCAGGGATGTATGGAGTAAGGCACTCCTTAGCATGGTGCCAGGCCATCTCGGGCTTCATATGTCCTTGTCAGAACCTTGACTTCAGCCCAGACTAGAACAGGCAGATCAGAGAGGAAAGTGAGCGGGCACCTCCTTCTCAGAACAGTATCTCTCTCCCCAAAACAAGCAGATTCTCCGTGGCCCATCTTCCCCAGCCACTTGCAGCAAAACAAGTGATTTCTGCTTCCCCATCAGGGCCCAATTCAGGACTGCAAACTGGTTTTCTCTGGCCGTCCAACCTAAACTTTGTGTGCACGTCCAGAGGTCCAAGTCCTCCGCAATCAAGTCTTTGGTCCCTATTGAATGTATTGATTATTGATATCATATTTATATCCTGCCTTTTTTCTTACGAAATCAAAGCGGCTTACGTCATTCTCCTGCTGCTGTTCTCGGTCTTAACCGCACAACAACAACCCTGTGAGGTAGGCTGGGCTGAGAGGCTGTGACTGGCCCAAAGTCAGCCAGTGGGCTTCATGGCTGATAGTCACTTAGCTATTAATCAAATAAAAGTCATTAGCTATTGACTATTCAGTTGTAGTAAAAGAGGATTATCGGGGGACATGTCCAGGAGTCTCCCTCACAGACTTCTATTTCCTGCAAGTGGAGGCATCTTGTTCCAGCTGCCGGGTTTCCTAGGCTCAGGTCTGCCACTGAGGTTCACTTTGACCACCCAAAAAATGTTTTAATTAATTAATTAATAAATAAATAAATAAATAAATAAATAAATAAATAGGAAAAGCCATTTTGGGTTGAGGGAAAGCGTCAGGCTTTTCTGAAAGGCAGAAAAGAAGGTTCTTCTGTATACCACAAAGACTTTAAGGAACTATGATTTTAAACGGATTGTAGTTTTAAGTGAAAGACTGTAAGGAGCAGTTCTGGAACTGTCTAATGCAGTTCTGACTTGAAACTGAGAGACTTCCTATCTTTGGCTGGCAGTAAAAAGCATCTACATTAAGTCTGGGCCTTTTCCAGGGGGAGCACTCAGAGCTTAGGTAAAGAAGATCTTTACTTTGGCAGATCTTCACTTTGATCGTGGTGAAAACGCTAAGGAGCCAGTGAGGTGCGGTGGTCAAGAGTGTAGACTGGGCCTCAGACTATCTGGGTTCGAGTCCCCACTCATCCACGGAGCCCACTGGGTGACTTGGGCCAGTCACAGGCTCTCCACCTACAGGGAAAAAAGGTGGGATATAAATAGAATGAATAAATTATAAAGATGTGAAAGAAAAGTTCAGGAAGGAAGTGCTCTTCCCAAGGACCAATATTTTTCTTGCAGTACTGAGCAGCTTTGGATTATGAAATAGAATGAGGAATAAAATATTCAAGGCAAAGTGTTTATTTCTTGTTATCCAAACTTCCCCAAAATGATTCCCAAAAACTATGTAATAAGGCAACTTTTATAGAAAAAGCAGAGCTGTAGCATTTCTAGAAACACTGCTGCCATGGGGGTTCATTCTGAATCCTGTTTGTAAGTTTACCCTCATAACTATTTGACCCCTTCTTTGTTAAAACTATTCATCGGATGCATTGTTTACTGAAGAACATTTAGGGGTGTTCCAAGTTATGTTTCCCAACCTGTGAGTTCATAATACTGAAAATAATGGTCATTCTAGAGCGTTTGCATCGTTTTTCCCGAGAGCGCGTGTGCTCTGGGGTGCTCCGGCAATCAATTAATGTAATTCTAATCTAGAACACACCGTGTGAGAGAAACACGGTTGGTTATCTCCCTGCCACCCCCAGGTGTTGTTCCACCCATGATTCTTTTCTAAAAATTCTCGACTTCTGTGCAATTGACTTCAAGGTTTCATTGCCCCAGTTAGAATGTAAACTACTAATTTCACTGAGGAATGCTGCTTAGCTATAAAACCCTTTAACCACTGCTATAAGCAGCCATGAGATTAGGAATGTAGGGATTACGGATGGTGTGTGCTGCTCTTCCTTGGCCCCAGTCCTTCCTGCTTCTTCTGATTTCTTGGATAATTCCTGTATTTCAGGTATTTGCTGTAGTTCCCTCTGGCCAGGCATAAAAGAAGAACCTAAAATGCGTTATGTCAAACTTAGTTTGCTCATCAAGTTAACATGTTTGGTAGATTAAATTTAGTACTTAAATAAGAATCAAACATTTGCTAACTGATTCTGAAAGTTTTTAATTTTGATGATTGATTTATGAGCAGACCGAGTTGTTGTTCTTGTTATGTGCTGTCAAGTTGTCTCCAGCTTACGGCAACCTCATGAATGGAAGCCCCCCAGAAAGTCCTGTCCAGGACACCCCCCCCCAGCTCCCCCAAATTCACGGCAGCAGCCTCCTTCATGGATTCAATCCATCTCAAAACCAAGTTGAGTGTCGCATAATGTATGTCCCTTTAGTAGTCCTCACCACCTGTTACCTCCCAGCTGTGTTGGAATGCAACTCCTAGCATTCCTGACTATTCAGGTACGGTGCCTGAAGTTCCTGCAAGCTGAAATCCAAAATATCCAGAGAGCACCAGGCTGGGAAAAGCGGTCCTGAAACCGCAACGGAAATTTAGATCTGAAAGGCCACTATAAATATACATATGTCTTATTTTTCAGCTTTCCCCCAACATTCTTTTTTTTTTTTTTTTTTTTTGGCTGGGTGGAGGATTCCCCTCCTCCCCATGGCCTCAGAATTGAACTTTGAGTCTTTGAGGTTAATTTTGTCCTTTTCATTTTATAAGGATCCTGTGAGGAACTAGTTACACTCTGAACAAACTCCTGTGTTCAGTTTTGGGGAGGGGCAGGTACAGCTGGGTTTCCCACCCATTGATTGGATTAAATAAGTACTTGTGATGGGAAGGGAATATAATTCAGCAGCGTTAGCATGGTGGCCCTGTTGACTCGCCAAGGTGAATGGGCAGGTGTTGCGGTATTAGAGAAACTGTCGGTGGCCCTCGCTCCAAATGGATCGGTTGCTGAGGCACTCTGCTTAGAGTGTAATAAAATATTTGTGGTATGTGCGATGTGATTCTCGGACAACTGGCTGGCATGCAAGCTTGTTTGGGGATTACAAAGGATCTTATGCTCTCCTTTGGAATGAATACGTAGAAATGCAAAGGTCCAGAGGAAATCCAGAACCCTTTTTCTACAGAACACTTTTTGTTTTTCTCCCCGCAAAAGGGCAAAATCAACCCATTTTGGATTGCGAAATACTTTTTTTAGAATTATAAATATAAGGAGGGTTCCCGGAGCAGGTCCTCTGCTGCAGATCTCAGGGGACAGGAGGGCGCATAGGGAAAAAGACTATAGTTTTTCTCTTTTCCATTCTGTGTTGCGGGAAAATCCATTAAAAATTACAATGGGGAGGGATGTCTGAAGAAGAGACTTTCTTTCTTCCAACCGCGAGGAAAGAATGAAGCCGCTGGTCTGTTTTTCCGGCGGGCCTGCTCCATTCCCAGTGCGTGAGGCTGGAAGACCCCTCTCTAGATCTGCCCCCTGGGTTGGGGGCCTGTCCGGCTCAGGCCAGCCCCGTGGGGAGTTGGGGCTCGCAGAATAAAGCTCTTTTCCCCCTCTGCTGTTTCAGATTGAAGAGGAGCTGGCCGCCCTGCAGAAGGAGCGCAGCGAGAGGATAAAGATTCTGTTGGAAAGGCAAGAGCGAGAGATTGAAACTTTTGACATGGAGAGCCTTCGAATGGGCTTTGGAAATTTGGTCACATTAGAATTTCCTAAGGAGGACTACAGATGAGATTAAATTTCTTTTGCCATTAAAAAAATTGCAAACAAAAAAATCTCAAATCCCAACATTCCCCCCATGTTAACGGGTGTGCTCTCTCTCTGTCTCTCTTACTGACATCACGTCGGACTTAGTGCCTGTATATTCTTACTCCATCAGGGCCCCCGCTTCCCGCCAAGTGTCCCGTTCCAGAGGTGGACCACACTCGGCGGTCTCTTGAATCTCATAGTGTCTCACAGTATTGATGTCTCTGTGCAATGATTTTTTTTTTAACAAAAGAAAATTTGTTTCAGTGAAAACTTTGGAAACAATTTAATGAATCAGAAAAAAGTGGATGTATGTTCGCTTTTGAGCAATCACTCATTTTTGCCACCAACCAATGAAAATACAAGCAAAAAACAAAATTTAAAAAGAAAAGAAGTCCAGTCCCCAGGGGGAGAGAGATGGATACTGCAGCCTTACCTTAATCAGCTGCTGCATAACTTTTAGTTTTTAATTTTATTATTATTATTTCTTCTTTTGGTATTTATTCATCAGGAATAATTAAATAAAAATAATAAAAATTTTATTAAGAGATCAAGAAATTTGATACATTTTACAGAAAATACGAATTCTGAATCGTGCTGTACATATCAGTGTTGGACATATTACTTTGGGGGCGGGGGGGAGGGAGGGGGTTGGGAAAGAGGGAGAGAGCGATTTTTTTGAAAAGGGCCGGGCCAGTCCAGGTGGGTTTTTGGCCGTGGTCTTTGGCACATTCTTGATTGTATCATAATCATTTTCTGCTGTAGCAGAAGATGTGACTACACTTAAAAAAAAAGGCGCCCAGAGGACCCCAGGAGCACAAATTGGGCCTTGTCAAATTGTGTATTTTGTGTATAGAAGGAAATTTAAGGAGAAATTTACTTATTTTCATATTGTATTTTAACTGTTTCTCTGATCAGAAGTTTTTTTACTACCTGCCTCTGTCCCCAGGCCAGGCCTCTTCCCAACCCTTCCCATTCCCCTCTTTTCCAAGTCAATCTTTGGAGTTTAACACTGTCTCTCAGTCGCATCACCTTGATCTTTCCCCCTCCCCCCTCCCCAAAGCCCCCCCCCCTCCCCAGAACCCCTCCCCAGCCTTTGGTTCCCCACTCCCCCCTTCCCCTCTTCCTAGTCCCGATAATCTTGGTCATAAATATTGCATTATTCACACTTTCAAACTGTGTATTTTCTTACAATAAAAAGGTTTAAAAAAAGGCTTTACTTCTTTTGCATGCCCTTTAAAACACAGACACACACACACACACAGCAGCCCTTTTTTCAGGTTCACGGCCCAAGCACGAGCACCGTTTTTAATCACATTCGTCTATATAAAGATGTTGCTCACAGACCCTTGCAGGACGAGCAGCTCTTTCCTTGCGCCACCCCCAGGGCTAGGAAGCCGCAGGGGAGGTTTATATCATCACGGAAGGCCCTGCTCTGGCAGTGCAGGTCCTGTTTTGTGCGAGGAGCCAGAACAGCAGAGGTTTCAGTGACCTGGAAGACAAATCTGAGGAGAGAAACTCCAGGAAATGTTCGTGCAAAGGGCTTATATGTGTACTGTGTTCCAAATGTCATCGGTGCAATTAAAGCTTCTCTACTGGGGCTTCAAAACACTCCTTGGAAACTCTTAGAATGAAGACAGATCTGATGTCCTTATTGTCTTCCTTCCCTGCAAAATTGTCTGTTCTTTCCAGACTCAAAGAGAAGGATGGAACGATGCACCTGTAACTCCAGCACAGACATTTCCTATGTCTGGGGCTTATTGGCTGGTACCCCAAATGTCCCTCATTGGCTGGTACCCCAAATGACACCCATCTCGGTGTTGCTCGGGGAAACATGACGTTTACGTGGCACTCTTGTCATGGTTAGGGTGGATGGATCCACTGCTGGGAGAATACTCGTGGTGCTTTGAAAATAAGTTGAAAGATGCACAGCTCACCTGCAGCTTGGGAAGAATGCAAGATTGGCGGCTGAACAGCGTTTCGGTCATTGGTATGGAAATCTATCATTCTGGTTTCCAAGCTGGACTCAAACCAGGGAGCCAAGGGAACACTTGAGAGCCCTGTTTTCCTATGTGACATCTGTCTTCACTCTCACAGTTCCTAACGAGAAGTGTTGAGGGGATGTGATCTCTCTGGACACAAAACTATTCTGCAGGCCACCTTTCACATCAGATGCTTTTTGCTCGCAGTGGCTTCTGTGTATGTTTGTTTACATGTTGATCGCATCGTTTTATCCAAAGGGACCTCACGTGAACGGAAGGGTTCCAAGCCTGGCACATGCTGCGTGTTTCTTGGGTCTCTCAGTGCCTTAAATGTCTGGTGTTAGAAAGCCCTTTTTCATCTCTGGGTTGACGTGGCCGACAAATCCAGAGGCACCTTGGGCCAGAGCACCTTTGTTGCACCTTGTATTGTGTTTGTAAAAATCATTGTTGTTCGTATTATGATACAAAGGCTCCCGGTATTTTTTTGCACTGTGCAAGCTTTAGCTAGAGTTTTTACAGCGTGCGCCTCACATTGGTTTAGCTTAAACCTCACTGCATTCGATGCTCACAATTTGGGACTGCAAGTCAACGGCTGGTGATGACGAGCGGGGAGCCAAAGCAGCAAAGGTCCCTTTTGATCCACCGACTGTACAGTCTGGGGAGGGGACCCTCCTGTCCCCGAAAAGAAGCCACAGCTGTCCTGCTTCTGTCCTGTCGCAAATCAGGTACGTCCCAGGGAATCCTCTGTGTGCATGTGCGCTGCATCCCATTCTGTGATGCCCTCTCTCCATGCTGGCATTTACTAGGTGTTGCATTGCTGCGTTGCTTTTCTAGGGGATGATGCAAGGGGGTGCATCAGTAGGGGGAGGAGGTCTCGCTTGGTGGAATGCGTGCCTGCAAGAAGGCCCATGTGGGCCTTCACATGAGGTTGGAGAGCCCTCGCCTCTGATACCCTGGAAAGCTTGATAGACCAGTGATGTGGCTTCAGCATAAAGCACCTCGTGCCTTGTGGAAGACGGGATGCCGCCCCTCCTTTTAGGCAGACCTGAAACCAACCCAGGATACAGAAAGCACAAGAGCAGAGCATCAGGGGAGGTGAAGTACTTTGTAAAGGTGGAAGAGGAAACGGGCAGGTAGACCCTTGGGTAGGAACGTCCTCTGAGCCTTCGAGCCAACAAGATTTGGGGCCTCCATTCTTGAGGGAACTGGAGCTTGTGCTGGCACCTGCAAGGACCTGAGGTTCCACCATTGAAGTCAGCCACGTGGATGACAGTGGACTGTACGGGGCACGTTAGGAAAGGCTGAAGACTCTGCTATATAAATGTAGGACGATTCCAAATGGGAAAATCCCCATCAAGGGCTGCTGTACAGAAGTTGTATTCTGGCTGGGATATGCTGGAAGTTACCTCTTTTTTCTGTCCACAGTTGCATAGGACTGTATTGGAAAAGGTGTAAAATAAGCAGAGCCTAGAAACTGTGTCATGTGGAATGTTCCACACATGCAGGATTCCCATCCTGAAAAGAAGAGTGTTTGCCAGAATAATGCACTAGAGATCCGTGGTATACGGTGCTTAAAACACAAATGTGGCTTGCAGTGGGTTAGAAAGGAGCAGTATGTTTTACTGGCAAGGTGGGAATTTGCACCAGTGAAGACTAGGGAGACAAGAAGTTTGCTTGGCTCTTTTTTAATAGATGAACTTAACATGTAAATTTCTTGGTGTGCAAGACGAGGGGAAAACAAAGTTGTGCAAACATATGCAAGGAAGCAAGATGGAGAGACTTGCCCATCCAGTCTGAGGGCTGTGAGCATTGAGCTTGTTGTTCTGGGCTTGATTCCCCATGGTGGGAGGAGACCTTTTTCACAACACTGGACCAGAGGGTCCTCCATTGAAGCTGAACAGGGCGGGGAGTCTGGGCAGGTAAGTGGAGGCATGTCTTTACCCAGCACATACATTGTGGAAGTCGCTACCATGAGATGGAGGGATCGCCACCAATTGGGCCGCTTTAAAAGATGGAATGGAAATCTAGAGGGGAGGTGGTCAGGGCCCCAGCCTCCATGGTTTTGCATTGGTACCAGTGCTGCAAGAAGCTTTGCTCCTCGGTGGTAACCGTTGGGCAGCAGAGAGAGCATGGGCTATTCTCCAGCTTGCGGGCATCTCATGGGCATGTGGTCAGGCACCAAGCGAGCAGAATGCTAGAGGAGATCCGGCCAGGCTGCTTTTACCATTCAAATCCGAGTAGCCAAAGACCATGCATGCCTGAGAACATGTTGGCCATTTTTAGTACAAGGCACCTGAAAATGGCCACCAAAGCAGTTCAAAGACAAAGCCGCACCGACTTTTCCTCTGGCGTAATTGTCTTTATTCAGCCGCAGTGCGATGCACACACCAGGCTCTTTTGCATTCAGTTGCTCGTAAATCTTTGGCATGCAGCTGTCCCACCAGCCTGATAGCGCGAGCCTGCCGGAGGGTGGCCCAGCGCATACTCGCAGGAAGACGTGGATCGGAACGGTCTTGCTCGGCAGCCGTGTGGCTCCTCGGGTGGGCTTGTGGCAGGTCAGTTCCTGTGGCTGCACATACAACAGCCGCAAGTAGCAGTGAAATCCTGCATTCAACCAAAATAGAATATAAACAGCCAAAATGGCGCATTAGTTTTTGGAGGGGGATGCACTAGCAATGCCGGAAAGGGAGCTCTTCCAGTGTGTGTCTTTGCTTGCTTTTCCAAATGACTGCAGAACTGTTCACCTACGTCTTTACACTGTCGCTTTCTCCATTGGCCTTGCTTTGCGTAAAATTGGGCAGGCGACATGAGACCTGTGTGGACCAGTGTGCCCCTGGACACATTGACCGAGGCCTGCTGAGGTGCCCTGTCTCCCCCCCGCCCAGCCCCCCGGTGTCCTCGGGTGTGTTTTCAGTGCAGCTTCCCACTGGCAGCTCCAGTCTCTGCAAAGCAAAGTGAGGCCTGCCCTGCAGGGTGTGGGAATGACAGAGGCCGTGTGTGTTTCGCGGCACGTGTTCCAGGGCTCTTCAGGTGAGGGTGATGCCTGGGAGAGGAGGCCTGCAGACTGCAGAGGTGGTGGAGGCAGAACAGCCCATCTCAGGGCTCATCTCTCAGGGTCAGCTGGAGCCCCACACTAGCCAGGAAGTGTGGGGCACGAGCCGGAGGAGCCTGGCCCCTTTCTTGACCCCATGATGCAGCATCGGGAGAGAAGGGCTAGCCAGCCAGAGGGCCTGCAAACAGCTAGCGGGCTTGTCTGTCCAGGTTCATGCAAAAGGCAGGTTCCTGGAAATAGTTTCCAGCTTGGGTTCAATGGACCACTCTGTGCATGCTCAGAGACTTTTTCTTTGCTGGCTATAGCTTGCTGGACAGCCGGCAAAGAAAAATGGAGTTTTGGCCAAAGAATGGTCTGTTGGTTGAAAGAAGGGGGAACCCAGCTGCTGACTCAGGGAGCTGCTCTAGCAACCCTGGCAGGTGGCCACCCAGTGTCTGCTTAAGTACCTCCAGCAAAGGAGGGTCCACCATCATCTCCCTCACGAGCCTCTGTACAGCCTGAAGTGCCTGACCCTGCCTCACATCAGAAGCTAAGCAGGGCCAGGACTGGGTGGAGTCTGGATGGGAGACTTAAATGTTGTGAACTGCCTAGCGCAGGGGTCGGCAACCCACGGCTCCAGAGCCGCATGTGGCTCCTGAACCCCTCTGCTGCGGCTCCGTTGCTCAAAACACACGCCGGCACAGCCGGCGATCTGCTCGAAGCTCCACTCAGGAAGGCAGCGCTAGCTAAGCAAATCAGCTTGTTAAGCAAATCACTACATTCCTCTGCTAAACAAGCTTCCTGCAGGCTCTCATGTTACACGAAACAAGCTGCTGAAAGGATTCTCTTTGTCCC